CATTTAATTTAAAAATAAAAATGACAAACAATGCAAATTTCACGAACTTGTCAGAAAATAATGCATCCTTCATTTATTTTCAAATGAAATATTGTCTTTTAATAATTAAAGGTAACATCCTTCCTAGGGTTCACTACAAATATTCATGGTACAGGAAAAGACAAATTGTCATATAACTATTAATAATGAAACAGAAGCATTACACATAAACATGTAAACATTTTAAAAAACAGTAAAGTCTCTAAAATTAAGTGCAAAAGTCAACTCTATCTACATTATAGTTCAGGGTTAATAGAACAGTGAAGATAACTACTGGAATACAAATGGTCATCAGTTAAAGTTTAATTACTGCTTAATAATTCATTCTTTAAAAAGACAATGCATTCTAATAAATTCTGGCCATAGGGACAGATATTTTGCCCGCAAAAGCACTTTTCTTCTCGTTCATGGTGTGGCAGTCTCCGTCTAGTACCGTTCTGCATTCATGTAACACAGGTGATTACATTCAAATGGCATTTAACATAAATTGCACCAAACTGCCCTATAATTCCATTTTGGACGGAATTAATTAACTTCTCGGCAGGTGGCTGAGGTTCTGAAGAAAAACTTGCCTGCTTAGACTATCTCACCATGCATTGTCTCTGAATCACGGCAACTTCCACTTTTAATAAATAATACCAGGTAAAATACATTTAGTAGGGCTATAAAGGGTAAAGATAAGGCATTTATAATAAATGGATTTAGTTTTCCACATACATTCCCATCCATTTAAAAGAGGTCATGGGGCACAAGAGACAGCTGAGGAGGATTTAACAAAACTCAGCAAGAGTTGGCTTGCCTGATATTTCTGAAAGACTGTTTACCTTAGGAGGTTTATACTAACAAAATGCCTTTTTTGTCCTTGCAAGATGTTTAAACAAAAGGTTTACAACTCTGCAGCAATTAAAAAACAAGACTGTCTTAATGCTGTTCTAAGTAATTTATATCTCAGTGCTTGAAATGTAAATGTAATTGTCTAAAACATTATCTTCAGATCATCAGAATTATGATGATATCATGAAATATCTATTGTTTCTATTATGTTTCTCCAATTATAATATTGCTATCAAAATATGATTGCTAACTCTATTTCAAGTTTATATTCTTCAAATATCAAGAAACAAAAGGGCAAACAATGTGAAAAGCTAATTCATAAAAAGCTGAAACATCTTTTATTACATGACATTTTTCTGTCATAAACTTCCAGTTTAGGATATGAGAAAATACTTCTTTTGACCAACTCCTCAACAAAGTGTTTAACTCCGTATTTTTTAATATATTTTTAATCGTAAAAATAAAAGAGAAAGGAAAAAAAAAGGATAAAAAACCCCCAACTTAAGTAGGGGAGTAAACTAGAATTTAATGATCACTATGGTGGCGGTAGAAGGAGCCCTGGTGACATAGTGGATAAGGCATTTGGCTGCTAACCAGAAGGTCAGCGGTTTAAACCATCAGCCTCTCTGCAGAAGGAAGATGGAGCAATCTTACCTATTTCCATAAAGACTTACAGCCTTGGACTTACAGCAATGGGGGTTGCTATGAGTCAGAATCGACTTGATGGCAGGGAGGTTTGTATTTTTTTTTTTTTTTTTTTGGAAGGGGGCAAGGAAATCCTTTTTTTTTTTTTTAACTATTTTTTGTGATTTGGGTGAAATTTTACAAAGCAGATTCCTTTTACATTCAACAGTACATACACATTTTGTTTTGTGACACATTCCTTGCAATGTAACAGCTCTCCCCTCCCATTCCTCCCTGTAGTTACCCCTTTCCCTGTGTTCCTCTAGCCTTCCAGCCTCCCTACCTTTTTCCCAGTGCAAATGCTGCCCTTCTGATCTCCCATGGTTGATTGTTCTAAAGAATGCATCTCTGTGGTGTAGGTGTTTAGCTCATAGGCCTGTAGATTGTTTGGCTGAGAATTAAACCACAGGAGTGAGTTCACTTTCAGGCCTGAATGATGACTTGAGGCCATAGTCTTAGGGGTTTCACCAGTCTCTATCAGATCAGTAAGCCTGGTCTTTTTATGATTTTGAATTTTGTTCTACATTTTTCTCCTATTCTATCCAGGATCTCCAATTTTGATCCTTTCTAAGAGGTTGGCATTGGGAGCCTGGCACTCTCTAGTTCTTCTGGTCTCAGGGTCATATAGGCTGAGGTTCTCATGGTCCATTAGCCTTTCAACTGTTTCCATGTGTCTCTGATTTACTTCACGCTTCTTTACTCCAGACAAAGAGAGACCAAGAGTTGCATTTTTAGATGGCCACTAGCAAGCTTTTAAGTGTCCAGTCACTACTCATTGAAGTAATATGTAGAACAGTATTTTTGTATACTATGTTGATGACACAGTGAGTTTTTTATGGTCAAAGTGCAGTCAGTGGGTGGAACAAAAAGTTAAGCATTCAGCTACTAACACAAAGGCAGTTTGAACTCACCCAGAGACTCCCCAGAGGAAAGGCCTGGGGAGATCTGCTTCAGAAAGGTCACAGGCATTGAAAACCCTATAAAGCAGAGTTCTACCACACGACACTTGGGTTACTATGAGTCAGAATCAACTGGGTGATTTTTTTTTTTAATTAAGGAGCTCTGGTAGCATAGAGCCTAAGGCACTTGACTGCTAACCAGAAGGAAGGCGGGTCAAACCCGCCAGCCACTCCTTGGAAGGAAGTTGGGCAATCTACTTCCATAGTGATACCACCTTGGAAACCCAAGGAAAGGTCGCTATGAGTCGGGTCCAACTCGATGGCACATAGCAACAATAACAACAAGGATATGTAGCTAAGAGCTTCAGGATGATTTCAAAGGCTTTATAGCATGCAGTGAAATGGATCTCCCAGATATAACGCAAACAAAACATTTTTTTCTGGGGTGGGGGTGGGTAGCCCTTGGTCAGGGTTCGCTTACATGGATCTAGAAAGAAGTGTTTCAGTTCTATTTCAGATATTCCACATTGAGGGCACAACCACTAAGTAAGTTCTCTACGAATAAATTTTCTTCCTTGTATAACTTAAATTCTTTCTGCTAAAATTTGTGTGAGGACAAATGACAAGAATATAGTTTGGAAGTTTTAATACTGATTCGTTATAAAAGAAGGCACCAACTATGGAAAAAAAGAATTCCTTAGATGCCAGCTTCAGAAACAATTTTGCTTGCAGCATTTTCAAGCTCTGTAATTTAGTGGCAACAACAGAGTGACAAAGGCGGTCAAAAAGGAGCACTGGGTTTGAAAAATAAATAACAACAACAACAAAAAAAACCAAACAATAACATCCTTTTGATTTTTAATATGCCATTTACTGAAAAGGCAATCAAACCAGAAATTTATGAGCCCCTTCTGGCTAGAAAAACAAATTAATCCCACTTTTTAAAATTTTTATACATGTGACTGTCTCTAAATTATTAGAGCAAGTATTAGGGTTTTCTTCTTACCAAGTCTCTCCTGGTATTGTCAACCACAAGAGACCTTTTTGTATCATTACTCGCTTGAGTCTCAATTCTTACTAGGAGTCCTGGCCAAATACAAAAGTTATATGGCAGTTACATCATTCTATATAACTGAAAAAACAAACAAAACAACAAAAAACTCTGCTATCTAAAAATAATGAAAAGTTCCATTAAAATCAATAAGTTATTTTTGACAAGTGTTCATTTTACTTTATAATAATGTAGTTCTGATCTAAATAGAGCTCTTACTAGCTTTAAAAAGATCTCTAGATATTACACACTGAGAAGTAATTTAACTCATATATTTTTATTTTTCCAATGACATTTAGAGTTCAGTGTGATTTGAAATTTTTAGTGCTGTTGCTGACACCTTATGGAAACTGCTTTATTTGGAAATTCTGATTAGATTTTCAAAACTGTTAAGCTCTTGTTTATAACAAGCACTGGTGTATGAAATAAAATTTCTGTTCTTTTAAGGCATCCATCTTCTTGCTACTTATTCCTCACTTGATTTCATGATCCTGTTTGGGTCACCATGATGAGTTGCCATGGAAATTACCTCTTATGGAAATGGTTCCTATGCCACTATTGTAGGAACACGACTTTTAATGAATAATATCAATAGCAGACATCAGCCCTCACTAGAAAAAAGGAAATCTAATTAAGAAAAAAATAAAAGGATGAATCCTGAAAATTATTACCATGGCCAACTTTTCTGATATTTTTGAATTTGCCATCTGCTTTTTAAATAAGTATTAAATGAATTTTAAGGTGTTAATCAGCTACCCACTTCCTTAAATTCCAAAGTCACAATGGAAATTAGCACCACACGAAAAACGAATATAAAGAATATTTCATCTACCATTTCTCTAAATTAATAAATGTTATACTTCACTAATGAGAGTTAATGTAAACAGGATTTCAGGGTTCATCAAGGAAACAACTTTGAATAACACATCAAAAATTCTCTTTAAAGATGGAAGAATTTAATATTTCAAAATGTGTCCCAGGAATTTGAAAGGTCAGGCCCATAAACTAGCAAGTTGAACAATAGATGAGAGCCAGTGAACCATTAGATGAGAATTCCAGAATGCTAAGAAGAAAATCTTCTTGTGTGGATTCTATAATTTGTGGCTGGAATAAAACTTTTGAAACATTCCATTACTATTAAAATTCTCACAATAAGAATATGGCTAACATTCAACACATTTTAAATTACTAGACAGTCTCTCCCTAAAAGAAATCTGAATACTTTATTCTGCCTAGTGCTTGTTCACTGCCTGGTACTAATTTAGGAATAAATTAACCCTTCCAACAATTAGGATATTGTCTAGAAACTGCCTCTTGTACTCTGGTGGGAAAATCACTTACATTTTTTCTATGAAACAGATTGCTAATTATTGATTAAATCACTGTTACATTTACCTACAAAATTATGTATCATTACATCTATAATACCTCTGAATTAAGCCTCACAGCTATAGATTTTGATAAATGTTTTATACATTAAGAGTTTTCTATACTTATGCCTGCAACCATGATCTAGGGTCTAAAATGTCTTTGATGGATTTCTGCCTTGGAGCTAGCACTGGCTTGGCTTCAAAACTGGTGTTAGTGTCTGGGTGCTCACCATCAGTTAAACTATGTTTCCTGGCAGGGAGAAGTTTTTGAGGAGCAGTCATAGGTTTCTGTAGGTGATGCATTAGGGTTGACAACTTGGTATCCAAGGGAGAGGTCCGAGATACACTAGTTTTTTCCCACTTGTTCTTATCCAACTGATGTATGCTGGACTGTGTTTTTAAGCTGAATGCAGCTTCATGGGAAGGAGGAAGGGGAGCGCGTCTCTTCTTCCTTTTCCCACCAGGTAACTGCTCGCTTGCAGGCAACACTACCTTTTCCTGAACGACCATCTGGTGATGACCGTCAAAGAGCAAAGCCCGTGAAGGTGGTGAGGCTTCTTCATGCTGACCAACAAGGAACTGTCCATTTGTCTCTTCAATTTTCTTTTGTATTATATCAGTTAAACTTTCAAATTTCATAGGAGAATCAATGCCTACAATAATTTTAAGAAAAAGTACATAGGAAAAATTCAAGAGCAGTATATACTTCTTTACCTAAGTTATTATTTTCCAAATAAATATGCTAGTATAAATCAAAAAAAGAAAACCAAACTCACTGCCATCGAGTCGGGCCCGACTCATAGCGACCCCTCCTTGGGTTTTCAAGGCGGTATCTCTACAGAAGTAGATTGCCCAATCTTCCTTTCCAGGAGTGGCTGGTGGGTTTGAACTGCCAGCCTTCTGGTTAGCAGTCAAATGCCTTATGCACTCCGCCACCAGAACTCCCATGCTAGTATAATGGTTATCAAAAATTTAGACAAGCAAAGGAAGTGAACCATTTACTTTTATAATGAACTATAACAATAGAACCAAAAATAATGGAGACATCCTGTAGGCTCTCTCTCTCTCTCTCTCCACATAAGCCCAAATGAATTCTTAAACAAATGCGTAAAATCCTGATTTCAAAGAAGTAGAGTTAGATGAGTGTGTTCTTGGTTCTATAGATTAAGTATTTATTAGATAACTTTTCTTGGATTTCAAATTTATTCTAACTTCTAGGAAATAATGGATTCTCTTTTTTCATAAAAATGTAATATAAAAAGCAGGACTACTGTAATTGGATTTGTATTATTTCCTGTAAGTCTCTGTTAAAAGGGAAAACAAAACAGAACAAAAACCAGGGAAATAGAGTGAAAACAAATAAACAAAAACAGAAAACAGATAAAGCTGAAACCATTGTGGTGTTCAGCATGTAGGCTGAAATTTTCCTCGGGAAAAATAAGAGAACAGACATAAACATCTTTATTAAATGAATCACTGGTATTTTCAAAGTTATCATTTTTATTCAACATTTTAAAGTACATGTAAGTATAGTCACATTAGAGGGAAATTAGATTAGAAGTTAGCAGTGACTTGTGCTTGTTCCCAGCACACTCATTGAGGCAATCCTACAAAGATAAACACTCTTCAATGTGTGGGAAAAAAGGAATATTAATGAGTCTAGAAATTAAAAATTTTCCTAAGTATTAAACTTAACCAATTTATCTTGGACTGAGATGAAAGCTTCCATTCATTAATATTCATTTACCCAAACTACTTAAAAACAATTTAATAAAATACAGAAAAATGAACATGACTACATTTTAGAATCTATAAGCTTACATTTTCAGAATTTTCACCAGCTCCTCAGCTAATATTTATTTCCAATGCAGCTGTATTCATTTGGAAACCTTAAAATTTTTGATCTTAAGCATTCAATCTATGAAAAATGTGTATTCATTAATTTTGTATTAATTCATCTATTAAACATGAATTCCTTAGTCTATAATCACAGTCTTTTTTCATTCATTTTGACTGCAGCCCTGAAAATGTTAGCATTTTAATGTCATTAGAATAAGCTGCTTGAGAGCAGACAATGTTGTTTTTGTTGCCCTGCAGCTTAGAAAGACAAACCCCACTTACTCATATCATGATAGACTGAGGTCGCCTCTTTTGTCAAGAACAAAGGTGGTTTCCGTGGTGACATAATCTCAATTTTCATAAGTTCTTCACAACAATGCTTCCATTGGCCTAAGAAAGACAGAAAAGGTGGGCTAATTTAAAACATAAATGTGAAGATATATATTTCATTTTCTATAGATATAAACACATTTTTTTGGTTAGAAAAATGATAGTGAATTTGTCAAGTATTGCTTAAGCTGCTTACACAAAAACTTAGTACTACCTATTATTTCAAAGCCCAAGTCAAAGGCATAAAGGCAATTTATTTAAAAAAAATAATGTTCTATGTACACATTTTAAGTAAGCTAAGATCCCTAGGCTATTAAATATTTCACTAAATGGTCAATAACTACTTTAAAATTTCTATTTATGGTAAAAGTTTATAAAGGTTCTCTTCTTTTAAATATTCAATAAAAACACCCAGTGTTTAAGAGAGTTGAAAGGTAAAAATTCCCTGGAATATAATTATGTAAAAAAAACAATCAACCAAAGCCACTACCATCCAGTCAATTACAACTCATAGCGACCCCTATAGGCTTTCCAAGGTTGCAAATCTTTACAGAAGCAGATTGCCTCATCTTTCTCCCGTGGAGTGGCTGTTAGGTTCAAACCACTAACCTTCTGGTTAGCAGCTGAATGCCTTAACCATATTGCCACTATACCAAACAAAACCAAACCCACTGACATTAAATCGATTCCAACTCATAGAAACCCCCATTAGGTTTCCGAGGCAGTAAATTTTTACAGAGGTAGACTGACCCATCTTCCTTCTGCTGAGTGGCTGATGGGTTTCAACCATCATCCTTCTGTTTAGCAATCACATGCCTTAGGCACTGTGCCCCCACAGCACCACAAGGACTCCTTAATTACATAAAGGGAAGTGGAAATAATAAGGAGGGGTTGTTCTCAAAAATGGCTTTAACTGTGAAAATTTTAATTAAGAAATAATTGTTCATTTAACAATTAGTCTGTTTAAGATAATCATCAAAATTTTTAAAGTCATATAATACTAGAAAAATACTATTTATTTTCACTTAAATGAAAGATATTCATAAAAGCCTATCACTATAAAGGCATGGAGCTCTGGTAGCATAATGCTTAAGGCACTTGACTGCTAACCAGAAGGCTGACGGTTCAAACCCACCAGCCACTCCTTGGAAGGAAGGTTGGGCAATCTACTTCTGTAGTGATACTGCCTTGGAAACCCAAGGAGGGGTCGCTGTGAGTCGTGTCCGACTCAATAGCACATAACAACAACAACAACAACAAAAAGGCACATCACTCAAGAAAATTCTAATTGGGAATTTTAGGAGGGACACTTTAAAGCCATTACAAATTAGAATAAGAAAAAAAAAAACACTCTTCAATAATTGGTTTCAATTAGTAAATAAGTGTGGGAAAAATATATTTGTTTAAAATTATGTTTTACCATTTTCATTTAAAAATAAAGTTCTTAGATTTATTTCTGCTGAATGTATATGAAAAATTTACTCTTTCACTTATTATGAACCTGCATGAAAGACAGCATCTGTACTTGATATTATGTGTCTATATATTCCATATTATAAAAGTTATTGAGGTTCTCCATTCATATATCCTATTTATATCAATAGAAAAGTAAATGTAGTGCATATATGTCTTTTTAGATTGCTTTATGATCTACAATTCTCTGCCTTTTATTATGTTCTCAATATGCATATTCAATATCCAACTTAACTAATTTTTCATGCCTTAAAAATTAAAGACATTTCTAGTCAAATTATCTGTTCATTTATGCTAGTTTTTGTGTAAAAATTAGTCATAGCAACATATGTATGAACTAAAAGTTCATCATCTTAAAGAGTTAAGGAAAAACAACACCTTCCAGTGTATTTTATTACAATGCTAAGTAATATTTATATTTTATTTATTTATAAGCAAAAATTTCAAATAGCCCACACCACAATTCATAAAGGGAATAAAACCCTCAGTGTAAGTCTTCAAAGGTTAGTCTCCAGAATTTACGTGTAGTAGGATCTGAGATCTGATGATAACTTACTCCTCCTTTCCACTTCCTTTTTTGAATAAATACATGAAAGCTAGATTTTGCTTCTTGGGGACATAAAACAAAACAACAAACCTTTATCTAATGGAAAAATAATGAAACATTTTAGACTAGCAAACATTTCTCTGTCACATTCTTAGACAAATTATAAAGTACAATATTTTCTCTATATTGATAGATGAAAGCTTTTCATTGTTAAGTTACTAGCAGAATACTAATGTTGAAAATGGGGATATAATGCCACATTATCCTGTGTGCTACTGAAGTCAGAGGTGCAAATGTGGCATGTTTACTGGTCAAGACTTTACAATGGAAACATTTAGCTTGCCCATAAATAAATTAGTATGCATAGTTATATGTGATAGTCATTACACTAACATGAAAATAAAGGCCCAATATAAAATATTAAATGGATATGTTTTGCTCACAGAACAATGTATTTATTGAAGATGTTTCTTACAATACTGTTTATTGTTACAATGTTCCCAGTCAAAGAGATCCATTATGCTAAACTGCTAATGGAACTCAATATTTGTATCATTAAATATTTCAGAAAAAATTAATGTTCTAAATCTATTTTAAGTTTCTCTACCTTTGACCCATCATTCTTAACTCCACCACTTTTATTCAGAACAAATGGTCATTCTTCTTTTATATACTTGTTAGCTATCCAATATTAAAAATAGCTCCTCTTTTTCCTCCTTCCCTACCTCATCAGCCCTGCTATTCTTTAGGCTAAATTTCTTTAGGCTAAAATTCTCTCAATTTTTCCTCATGGTCTCTACTTATTTCACCTTCTTGGTTTTCTACTATTAGAGTGGGACTAAAGAACTGAGCACTGGTCCAAATATTAAGGGAGCTCTGGTGGCACAGTGCCTAAGGCATTTGACTGCTAATCAGAAGGCTGGTGGTTCAAACCCACCAGCCACTCTTCAGAAGGCAGCCTGGGCAATCTACTTATTCTTACTTTATTTTCATGACTATCTATCTTTTACTGTGTTCTATACATCATATATCCCCTATGATCACAAGAGGTTACACCTGTCTACCACTAGGAAGGGAAAAGATTTAAAAATACAAGTCAATTTTTAGGACAGTTTAAATGCTTCCACCTTTGCTTCATATCTCCAAATACAATAAACTCTAAACTGTAAATGTAATAGTAACGAGCACTTTAGATATAATTTGTACTTTGAAATATAGATAGATTGGCAGATTTTATCCAAGAAGCATTAAACACTAAGGAAATAACCAGACTTGAGAACCCAGTTGTCATTGATTTCTTATTACTTTGACAATGCAAAAATGTCAGGAAATTCTAATCTACCCAACTCTCTACTGCAGCATGATGAATTCTTTCACATAATGTAGAGAATGAAAACACGAGATCGTAATCAAGTTGTAGCTGATAGAGAGATTACGTGCTTCTGTATTTCTACCGTTATTATCCTCTTCCTTCCTTTTTTTATGCATATAAAAATTGTAAGATACCAGAATCATTTCCAACAGTAATAGTGTTTTTGTAAGACAGACATGCTAAATCAGAGCATTTAGAGAAGCAGTTAACATTTTAGCTGTGATCAACAAAAGAAAGAAGCTGCTATCTTGTGGTTACATGGTTAAGAGCCACTGAAATTTTAAAAAAAAGAAATGTAGTGCATGAACATTTGTTGAGTGCCTAGGCATAGTACTACAGAAGAAAAAAAAGGTCCTAAAGAATCCAAGGATGCCACGGAGGGAATCCTCTGGTTCCCTGCAGTGAACCAGAAACCTTCTTAGGTCTTAATTTGCTCATCTCTAGAGCAAAGAAAAATAATTCCTATCTCACAGCAGTGTCATGAGAAATAAATAAATCTAACTGGTATACTGGAGGTAAACAATAAATTTGGTTCCTTACTTGCCTCCCTCCTCAACCATCACTGTAACACTTGACCAGGGTATGGATCAGAGTAGACTTAAAAAAAGCCTGATGATTGAAGGTATATAACTCTATAGCATATAGCAGAATATAGCTTGTAAGAATTCCCAATATTTCTGTAAAATCCTATCTACCAGTTATAGAAGTAACTTTTAAGTGTCTGGAAATGGCTGCTTGGAAAAATCAAGGTATTTCTCTACTTTGTAATTCTATAGAAAAGCATTCTAAACATATAATATACTGGTTGAACCTAACATTCATCTTACTTCTATCAGAAATAGTCATTTATCCATATTCTACATTTCCAATATAAAATTGTATATAATAAGCTGTTAAGTTTATTGTCAGTATCAATAAATAACAGCTAAAATTTTAATATTTCCCTGCTGAAATATCTCCATTGTTGTTGTTCTTAGGGCTCTGACTCATAGTGACCCTACAAACCACAGGACGAAATGCTGCCCGGGCCCGTGCCATCCTCACAATCCCTGCTATTCTGGAGCCCGTTGATCCGGCCACTGCGTTTCCCAAGCATATCCTTCTCCAGGGACTGGTCTCTTCTAACCATACGACCAAAGTACGTGAGACTAAGTTTGGCCATTCTCACCTCTAATGAGCATTCCAGCCATACTTCTTCCAGGACAGATTTGTTTGTTCCTCTGGCAGTCCATGGTATTTTCTGTATTTTTTGCCAACACCACAATTCAAAGGCGTCAACTCTTCTTTGGTCTTCCTTATTCACAGTTCAGCTTTCACATGCATATGAGGTGACTGAAAAAACCATGGCTTGGGTTACAAAAGAAACAAAAACAAACTCTCTGCAGTTGAGTAGGATCTGACTCATAGCGACCCCTCCGTGGGTTTCTAAGTCAGTATCGCTACGGAAGTAGATTGCCCAACCTTCCTTCCAATGTGTGGCTGGTGGGTTTGAACTTCCAGCCTTCTGGTTAGCAGTCAAATGCCTTAGGCACTACGCCCCCAGAGCTCCTTAATCTTCAAAGTGACATTTTTGCTCTTCAAGACTTCAAAGAGGTCTTTTGCAGCAGATGTGCCCAGTGCAATATGTCATCTGATTTCTTGATTGCTGCTTCCATGGGAGGAGCTCTGGTGGTGTAGTGCTGACTGTGAATCCAAGTAAAAAGAAACCCCTGACAACTTCAATCTTTTCTCCATTTATTGTAATGTTGATTATTGATCCAGTTGTGAGGATTTTTGTTTCCTTTATGTGGAGGTGAAATCCATACTGAAGACTGTAGTCTTTGATCTTCATCAGTAAGTGCCTCATGTCTTCACTTTCAGCAAGCAAGATTGTGTCATCTGCCTATCACAGGTTGTTAATGAGTCTTTCTTCAATCCTAATGCTGCATTCTTCTTCATAAAGTCCAGCTTCTTTAATTATTTGCTCAGCATATAGATTGAATAAGTATGGTGAAAGGATAAAATACTGACGTACACCCTTCCTGATTTTAAACCATGTACTATCCCCTTGTTCTGTTCTAACAACAGCCTCTTGGTCTATGCATTAGGTTCCCCATGAGCACAATTAAGCATTCTGGAATTCCCATTCTTCACAATGTTATCCATAATTTGTTATGACACACACAATCAAATGCCTTTGCATAGTCAATAAAACATAGGTAAATATCTTCCTGGTATTCTTTGCTTTCAGCAAAGGATCCATCTGACATTAACAATGATATCCCATGTTCCATGTCCCCTCCTGAATCCAGCTTGAATTTCTGGAACTTGTCAATATAACAATTTTTGAGTTATCTTCAGCAAAATTTTACTTGCTTGTGATATTAATGATATTGTTTGATAATTTCCACATTCTGTTGGTTCACCTTCCTTTGAAATGGTCATAAACCCATATCTCTTCCAGTCTGTTGGCCAGGTAACCATCTTGCAAATTTTCTGGCATAAACCAGTAAGTGTCTCCAGCATTGCATCCATTTGTTGAAACATCTGAATGGGTATTCCATCAATTCCTGAAGCCTTGTTTTTCATCAATTCCTTCAGTGCAGCTTGGATTTCTTCCTTCCATACCATTTGGTTCTTGATCATAAGCTACCTCCTGAAACAGTTGGACATTGGCCAATTATTTTTATATGGCGACTCTGTATTCCTTCCATCTTTTGATTCTTCCTAAATCATTGAGTATTTTGCCCATAGAATCTTTCAATATTGCAATTTGAGGCTTAAACTTCTTCTTTGGGTTTTTCAGCGTGAGAAATACAGAACATGTTCTTCCCTTTTCGTTTTTTAACTCCAGGTTTTTGTACATTTCTTTGTGATATTTATATGTCTTCTCAAGATGCCCATTGAAATCTGTTCCGATCTTTTATTTCATCATTTCTTCCATTTGCTTTAGCTACTGTATGTTCGACAGCAAGTTTCAAAGTCTCTTCTGACATCCATTTTGGTCTTCTCTTCCTTTCTTGTCATTTTAACGACCTTTGTTTTCTTCTTTTATGATGTTCTTGATGTCATCCTACAACTTGTCAGGTTCAGTCACTGGTGTTCAATGTGTCATATTTATTCTTCAGATGGTCTTGAAATTCAGGTGGGATATAATCAAGGTCATATTTTGGCTCTCCTGGACTTGTCTTAATTTTCTTCAGCTTCAACTTTGTTCTGGTTACCTAGTGCTGCTCTAACAGAAATATATCACAAATGAGATGGCTTGAAGAAACAGGAGTTTATTCTCTTACAGTTTGGAAGCTTAAAGCCAAGTTCAAAGTGCCAGGTTCTAGGGGCTGGATGAAAGCCCCTCAACCTTGAGGTTCAGCTCTACCTTCTGCTCCCAGCCACTGGAGCTAGAGGCTTTTCTTCACTCAGACAGCTGCTGGCTGCTGAACTGACAAGCCCAAGGTTGACAAGTAAAAAAGCATAGTGCCAATGTTACCAAATCACACAGCAGGCCATTAATTCAATTCCATTGAAAGTCCCAAGGTCAGCAGAGCATGGCAGGCTGTTGAACAACAACATGGCTACAGGGTTCAAGCATGACATAAGCTAGAGACCATTCCCAAAGCTGTTTCTTATATATGTGAAGCAGATCACATAATCAAAGTAGCTACTCAGCTGCTCCAATAGATTCTACCATGGAGTTAATTACCAGTACCACCATGGGGAATAACTACATTCAGCTGCCCAGCCAGTCAACCAGGTCCAGCCAAGTTGACACACAAACTTAACCACCACACCACAAACTTGAACTTGATACAAGCAACTTGGTCTGTTCCACAGTCAGCTCCTGGCCTTCTTTTGACTTATGATATTGAGCTTCTCCATCATTTCTTTCCACAGATGTAGTTGACTTGATTCCTATGTATTACATCATGTACAGTTGCTGTTTATGTTGTTGGGAAAAAAGGTATTTGTAATGAACAAGTTGTTGGTCTTGCAAAATTCTATCACGCAATATCTGGCATCATTTCTATCACCAAGGCCGTATTTTCTAGCATACTGATGCTTCTTCTTTGTTTCCAACTTCTGCATTCCAATCACCAGTAATTATCAATACATCTTGATTGCATATTTGGTCAAGAAATATCTCCTTAAATTGAGAAATTAGAACCTCATGTATTTTACATACAGAACTCTATTACATGGCTATCACATTATTTTTTATAATCCTTGCTTTTAAGATTGTATTATTGAGACCGAAAAACCATATGTGCAGTTGAAAAAAAAAAACAAAACTCTTTGGATGATGTCCAAGATTATATTATAATGAATCTGGAGTTAACAGAAGGTTACATAAAAATGAGGCTCCTCTGAACATTTTAGCATCCTGAATAAGTTTTTTACTTCTCAAATGGCTCCTTATCCCCTGGATAACACACATTGCCTTAAGCTGTTAAAACCTAGTATTTTGAGAAAACGTTTGGTTGTTTCAGGGACTACAGGAACTTAAATGTAAGAAGTAGATATAATAGGAATTCAAAACTATACTATAGTCAGTATATCTTCGGGGACCAGTTGAGAGAAAAAAAGCACAAGTGCCCTGATGATATATTATCATTTCTTTAGAACTCAATCTTTTCTCAAACAGTAACATTAGAATTTTAATATTCAGATGGCTGTGTACATATTTTCATGCTACCTGAACATACTACTTAAAAATCCAAACATCCCCTTACAAAGATCAAAGAAATGCTGCCAGAAGGCTTCCATCCACTTCTGAAGATCTTCTCTATTGTCAGTTGAAAAAATCTGAGTTACAGCCTGTCCAGTACCAGGGTTGATGACAACGAAATTATGGGCTCTTTTCTTGGTATCTTTATCCATTGCCCGAATTCTAGTTTCCTAAAAATTAAGACAAATTGGTGTTTTGTAAGAGAATATTTCTGTCATGATCAAACAAATGTTTTATTGCTTAGCAACCATATTTATACCAGATGTAATTATAATCTTATTGCTGATCATTTGAAATTTAAAATATGTAATTTTGAGAATTTTTAATATAAAAACGTAAATCTAGGTTTTTGAAAAAGTGCTTTATATTAAAATAGCTGAAGTAATGTTTCTAAGTATGCTACATATAGCAATTATGCAAATTACATGAGATTAAAACATAACCTCTGTTTTGATCTCAGTTCAAGTGGGAGTTTGCTATCTTTTATATACATCTTAAAATTTGCAATAAAACAAGTACAGCATGTCAAAATTGTAATGTGGATTATATGTTAGCTATATTTTCAACAGTAAATAAAAAAAGTATCAGTAAAAGCATACATTTCTTATTTCAATATTCATGCATGAAATACAGTATTATCAGTTTAAGCAATAAAACCATAACTTAGTGTTTACTGCAACAAAATAGTTAAGTTTCCTCATTAACATTTATTTTATATATAATATTCATTTACAGAGCTCATAGCAAAAGATCCATAAAGCAATATAACCCTCATAATGTTAAAATTCTTTCTTTTTAAATGATACAACTCTACAACAACAGCAAAGGTTTCATTCCTATTGAATTTTTCAGCCTTTTTTCTCTGAGTGGCATTTATGTATGTCATTGTACTGACACTTAATGTGTCTGCATATAGAAGAGAGAAATCTATTCCCAAGTCACACAGAGGGACTGCCACACCACAGGGCAAGCCAGCACCTTGCTATAGTTTAGGCCAAGGAATCTTGGGGGGGAAAAAAAGTCTTGAATAAAATTAGATACTATGAAAAACTGGAATATGGTTTCCTGAATAATGTTTAGTTTTCCATTATTCTAGAATAGTACTGTCCAACAGAAATATAATGCAAGCCACATATGCAATTAAACATTTTCTAGTAGCTATATGAAAAAAAGTAAAAAAGAAACTAGTGAGATTAATTTTAATGTTGTATTTAACCCAACATACTCAAATTATCTTTTAAAAAAAACAAACATATTTTATTGTATTTTCATGGAAGGTTTATACAAGGCTTCCATTCAACAATTTCTACACAAATTTTTCAGTGACATTGGTTACAGTCCTCACAATACATGAATATTCTCATTATTTCCATTTGGTTGCTCTATCTTAAAAATATCATCATTTTAATATGTAATCAATATGAAAATTGTTATTTTATATTTTTTTTCATAAATGTCTTCCAAATTCCATCTGTACTGCACACTTACAGCACATCTCAATTCATTCAGAATAGCCACTTTAAAGTGCCTAATAGCCACTTGAGACTTGGGTTTACGAGGCAGTATCACTATTGTACTGGTCACAGCAATTCTAGAGGAATATGGGTAAGCCTAAGGCAATGTAGGCGAAAGAATATCTTGGCTAGCAGTTACCCAAGGTGATGAAGGGTGAAGAGAGACTATATGTACAGTCATATACCAAGACCACACATAAAATAAAACCTGTGAAAGCTGGAATCTATGTACAGCAGAAACCTGTCAGAGAAGGACTACTCAGTATTTCCCACTAATAGCAATACAAAAGTGATTAAGACTGTACCCTGTCAAAGGCAGAATACTAATGAGACCCAGAAAAACAATGCAGTAACCTTGAGTTTGGCTTTCACAGGTGTCACTGTATACTGATATAGGTATTAGAGAAGAAGAAAAGAGTTATGAAGAAAAGCTATATATTCCCTGAAAGATGGGTACATAAAGGCAGGTGAACATCATATACATAAGAAGTTCTTTTCTGAAGAAAGAAATTTTTATTCAAAATCACATGGAGTATCACAGAATAAGGACTGGTAGTAATTGTAGAGATAATTAGTCTCTTCTGTCATTGCAGAAATACAGGGATTCATTCTTCAGTGGATTATAATGGGACTTATGGTCAGCATTTTAATTTGATCACAATAGGGTCTTTTTTTACATCCCTGTGACTTGGTAATAAACCTTGTGAATTATCTCTTGTAAGTAATTATTTACACAATATAAAAAATGCTCCCCTAAATGGTATCCTTAGAGCCTGAAAGACACATGTAATCAACCTCTTCAAATATACAGCTTATTATCACTAGCAGAGAATGGCTTAAGCTTCAGGAAGAATCAGTGATATGCTATTCTCACAGATTAATTGAAAGCTGAATCACAGTATGTATGTGTGTGTGTGTGTGTATGGGGGAGTGACCCTCTATTACTATCCATATTAAAAAATATAATAAAATATGAAATATTCTTCTTACTTAAATTGGGTGCTCCCCTCAGTCAATTTTAATGCAAATTTTGACTACTTTTCTATATAGGATTAAAATTAATTCAACATTTAAATAATGAAAATGTGACTTTTATAGATGGTGATGTGTATTTTGCATAATGCTAAGGTATCATTTCAAATGAAAACAGATACACAGAAAATCTGATGAACCGAATCATTCATATTCTTCTAACAGAATATAATGCAACAACATATTCATAAATGCTATGTACTCCATTAACTGATAACTATACAACTAAACTTTTAAATATGAGAAGTTTTGAAAGAGTGCAAATAAAACACAGAACATTTAAATTATCTGCTATATTTTATCATCTCAAATAATTAATGAAATTTTTTAAAAAACTAAAACATTACGTGACAAAGAAGAGGTAACAAAAAAACATAACAAAATATGAATTCAAAAGAAAGCTTCTTTTAGACTGTTCATTATTCTTAATTAAAACTGCAATTCACCTTTCCATTTCTGTGGATAATGGAAAATTATTAGACCAGAAATAGATTTATGAATTTTTTTAAAAATTTTACTTCTCATTATATGATCTTTAAAAAACTCTACTACTGAAGAGAACACCCAAGGAGGGGTCACTATGAGTCAGGTCCGACTCAAAGACACATAACAACAGCAGCAGCAGCACCCAGATAAGGATGATGGAAATGGCTTAAGTGACTGGATACTAACTGAAAAGTAGGGGGTTTGAGTCCACCCAGAGGTACCTCAGAAGAAAGGCCTGGCAATCCATTTCCAAAACTCCAGCCATTCGATTCCTTCAAAAGTTGGAAATACAAATACCATTTGACCCAGCCATCCCATTACTAGGTATATACCCTAAAGAAGTGAGAGCCATAACAAGAACAG